AAGAGACGAGCTGGCTATATAGAGAAACAAATCAAAGTACTGAAGTACAGACGACCTGGCTATATAGAGTAACAAATCAAAGTACTGAAGTACAGATGAGCTGTTACTTTGCAGTTAGCTCATCATATTATGTAATGTTCCACGTGCCCTCACCATTGTGGGTTCGAATCCCGACAGGGACTTTGGATTCTTTCATGTGGGGAAGCTATCAAGCTAGCTTACGGAACGTCGGTGGTTCTACTCAGGTACCCGTTCGTGCCTGAAATAATGCACGGAAGGGCACCCGAGGTCTTCCTCTACCAGTAAGCTTGAACGTCGCGATATGACCTATACTGTGTCGATGTGACGTAACCCCCCCCCCCCCAAAAAAAATGTAATGTTATTATGTTTATTTTTAAAAATACTGAAAATGTGTGTAAAACAAATGTATTTAATTTACTACATTGTATTATCTTGTAATTTGTATATTTTTGCTGTAATTTTCACATAAATTTAGATTAGAAGTGAAAATTGTTTTAATGCCTTTTGCTTTTTTAAAAGTACATAAAATTGACATTGAAGTATTAGATAAAAAGAAATTGTGCATTTTGTTCATAATTAAGTTTAACATGAATATGTGAAATTGAAAATGTACAATATGACATCAAACATTTTAACCTTAATACCCTTCTGGATATAAATGAACTTGTCTAGTTTCCATATGTGAATCTATCTATTATCAATTTTGGAGAGGTCAGGATGAAAATTTTATAACAACTAATTTATTTTCAAAAGAACTTGCTTGGTATCTTGTTACAGTTTTCAAAGTTATACTTATTTGCCATGTCACATGGTCTATCTTTTGCAACTCATTATAGTTCTTTTGGCAATCGGTATAGTTATAGTGAATTAGTATTTGATACTTTGTTTACATATGACACATTACTGCACATTCAGCGCTAATTAGTTTCAATAAACCCCTAAGAGTACAGTGTACATGTATAGATAGTTTATCTATTGATAACACTTATAACACTATCTACCACTGTAGGTTTATTTAAATACATTGAAACATTGGGTTTATGATGAAGATTATCATGTTTTATTATAGTTAAATGTTTTCTGACATCATTTATGTCCTACTACTACCATTATAACGTTGAACTGAACTTTATATCTGATACTAGAAAACAAGTACATGTATATTGATTTTGTACTATTTAAAGGTATTTCAAGATGCTTCATGTTTAACATTGCATTATATATTTATAAATGAAATACATGTATTGAGAAATATTGATGAAATAAACTGCGTTTTTTTCATTTTCTGTATTTCATTGTAAAAATTTACTTTTTGCTGTAGATAAATATATTTTAAATATCTTCACCAGTGTATTGCTAGACAACTTTCTTCTAATTCTAGATAATACACACAATTTAGAGGGAAGTCCTCCAAATTTTAATGTTAAAAAGAATAAAATGTATATAATAAACAGATAATATAAGTTTTTTCTATAAATAAAATACGTACAGGATTTATTTTCACCTTGGGGTATGCAAATGATCATATTTCACTCATAAAATATTCATTTTCATATTACTTTATGAATTAAATCCTGTTTTTATAATTATAAAAAAACTTTATTCTTCATATATTTTGTGGAAAAAGCAATTTTTGATGACTTTTTACACTCAATTTTTATTGCCAAGGATCCCAGCTTTAATTAAGTAAAGTTTTTTTCTATAATTCATCTACAATATTTGTGTATTTCTGTATATTATTCTTATGTTCTGATTTATTATAAGTGTATTTTATATTATAATTGTATTTAATGTATTATTTGTACATGTGAATACTTTTATTATATATGACATATCGCTTCACTAACTGTTGACTTTTTAATACTCATGTAACGCTTGTCTTAAAATATTGTGGGCACTTAACATCAAGTTTGTAATTATAAATCATTCTGAAAATTTAATGATTTTTATCTTTTCTTTTTCCATCTGAAAACATATGTGTATTTAACATTCACTCTATTACAAAAACATGTTCATACAGAAAGTCTTTGCTGATAGACTGTGATTTAGTTTACTAAAGTCAGCTGTTCCTTGACCATGTTGGAACACTAGGAAATTTTAGAGTGTCAAAATAATTTGCATATGAAGTAATCAGTGGGAAAAGGCGTGGCTACCCAACCTACCTTTTTACTGTCTTGAGTAGACACGCCTTTTCTATTGCTTTCATCACACTATTGTCCAATTTCATAAGTTTGTTATTCCAACCAACTTACCAAATGAAACTATTCAGTGTAATGAAAGCAATAGAAAAAGGCATAGCTATCCAACCTGTTGTTTGCTCACTTATGAATGTATTTTCTTTCTTATAAAAAAAAACAATTCTGAAAGATTTAAGCAATAGAAGTAGGCATGAGATAACCCATGTGTTTATTAAGTTTTAGGATACAATAAAAATAGGCATAGCTACCCAACTATTTTTTGACCAATTTATGAAATACTACTATTGTTTAATGGATACAAGAAAAGTAGGTGTGAGTCACAGCCTACCTCAGCAGTGGTTCACTCTTGAAATAGTCACTGTTTGATCAAAACATGTACAGGTTTGGATTCTTCTTGTCATAGACTTTATTTTCGGAAATTCTCACTAATCGAAAACAGTTTAGCAGTAAAATTCTGTTGTTCCTCAATGATATTAAATTTTGGTCAGTTGTTTGATTTATACTTATTGTGACTTAATCTACTGGATTAACAAAAGTTTTCTACAAAAATTTTAGTGAAGGGTGTTGACAGGAAAAACTATATGTACCTAGCTTGTAAGTGAAAGTCACTGTAAGTTTTGTTTAAAATTGATAATTTATAAAAGAGGGAATATTCTTTTATCATAAATGGAACGTGGGGTACAGCTTGTACCTTTTTTATTCAGTGCTTGGGTTCAAAGGAATTACTCCTTGGAGACGCTAAAAAAGATACACATTTTTTCGTATTGAATACAATTTAATAAAGCCTCAAACATTCATACATTTTGAGCAAGTCTGTCTGAATCAAAGCATACTTATCTTGTGTACAAAATTGAACTCTAAATAATATTTCACATTACAATCACACAGAAGCACATACATAACACATACAATAAACAGTGAAATATAATACAAGCAAATTATTCCCTTTATCTTAGCATAATAAAACTTCAATATCACATATCTGTGCCACTTTTGCAACTCCGTAAAAATGGTATTGCGCGGCCGTGCATATATTTTGACGTGACGTCATTTGCGCTATACAAACATAGCGTTAAGACGGGCTAAATGTTATCGTAATCCTTCAGGCGCGTCAATGATAGAGAAATGGTTCTTCTTCATTTCAAACGGTCTTGCATAATATATTTTTATTCAACTTGTTCAATAAATTCAGTATTACACTCACACCTATTCAATGTCCTCTGTTAACGTAATACTTCAGGCCCATCAATGATAGATAAATGGTTCTTCTTCACTTCAAACTGTCTTTATTTTTGGTACCAGTATGTGATAAATAGAATATTTAATTCATGTTAGTTCATTAATAAATTTATTGAACATGTTGCGTTAAAAATTTATGCTTCGTCAGATCTCAAAAAAACGCCATATAATATTTTTATTCAACCTTGTCAAATAAATTCAGTATTACACTTCCATACTCATTCAATGTCTCCTCTGTGTATTACTCAGTAAAAATTATGTAGAGCTTATTCCCAAAATTCTTAAATGTTTTGAAAAAAAATGTTTTCATTGGGATTTAATTTTTAAAAGGATAGCAAAAAAAAAATCTTTAAATGAGTTTGATTTTTCTTTATTGTTTTAAAACATTTTTTGATTTAAGTATGTGTAAATAGTCTACATAATTTTATTTTTTTTTTTTTTTTTTTTTTAATTAAGTTTAATATTACTATTTTGATTGGTGCCAGTTTATTTGATTTACAGTAAATCATACACCTCAATTGTTCACTGTTGTAAATAGTTTACCTTTCCGTCTTTTTATGTTTCAAAAAGAAAATTACAAGGAAAAAAACCAAAAAAGAAAATTTTCCCAGTATGCCCAAATTTTTTCAGCAGACTTCTCATTGAAACTGAAAAAATTTTGGAATTTCCCCCCCCCACACACCAAAAATGTTTCCCTTTTTGGCTGTACAAACTCCCCTGTAAGGAAACCAAAATTTAGGATCAGTAATTTGTTGTCAAAAATAATTTCCATCCCAAAGGCAAGGACAATCAGACCTTTATTTCCCAAAAGCCACATAAATCCTTGCCAAACACTGCTAAAAACTGAAAATCTCTTTTTGGAATTTAAAATTGGAAATTTCCTTGTTTATCAGGTTGGGGATTTTTTTCAAAAATTTTGGGGCCCATTCATATCATTTTTAAAGTAGAGGGGTGTATTAGAATCCCGGGGATGAATAATTTTTTTCCCTTTTTACCCAGTCCGTTACAGTTTATGAAACTGGGCTTTAAATTTTTTAAATTTGGGAATAATTTTTTTGTCAATTGTTTAAAAAATTAATGGTTTTAAATTTTTCAAACTTACTGCCCAAAATAGTTTTTTCTTATTTCACAAAATTCTTAAAAGGAAAATGCTTTTAAGATTTAGCTGATCTTTTTTCGGTTGCTGAGGGCCCAAAATTTAACAAACTTTAATGCCTTTTTTTTTGTTATTGTCAGCTAGAAATTAAAAGTTTCAATTTATCTGTGAAACATTTAACCCGTAACTTACATGTTTTTCCTTCATTTTGATGTTTTATGTTGAAATTTTTTTCGCTTTTTTTACAAAATAAATTTTCTTTTCTTAATTTTTTTCAGTATTTTCTCACTGAAAAATTTAAAACCCCAAAAAATCTTTAAATCTTTTAAAGAAACCTTTATTGTCGAATTAGCCCAAAGAATTCAACTTCAAAATCTGATGAATTTGTCACAGACCCCTGCTTCCTGTTCCCTTAGCTTCAATTTTGGGTTTTGGGGAAAATTTTTTTACAGCGAAAAAAATCCTGTGCTTTTTTTCCCAACTGACTTTGTTAGTTTTTGTGATGATACTTTGAGTTCATCAATATGTCTATGTAAGTTTTTAATCTCGTTCTCTAGTTTCTCTTTGCCATTTTTGTACTTTTCCTCTAAAGTTTTTAATGTAGCCTTTTCAAATGTATCAAGTATTACCTCCATTTCTTTTCTGAATTGTCTTATTGACTCTGTTGCTTTCTCCTTCTGTGCATTGAGCTCTTTGATAAGAACTTTCTTTGCTGTCTCAGCCTCCTCAATTTTAGTTTTTATGCGAATCAGCTCAGTATTTGTTTTATCAGCATCTATCTCCTTACATAAGTCATCAACTTCATCTGATATCGAATGTATATGTTGGCAGGTTCTGAAAATTTTAATATAAAAATACTGAAATTATGAGAATGATTTGTAATATTAGTTAACAGCCCATTTAACTTTATAAATGCTATGATTATTTTCAAAGCAATTATTTTCGTGCTGCCGTGTTACATTTTACAAAAATCTATTCATTTGCTATACATGTAAAGCTCATTATTTTGCTTCTTTTGTATTTAGACATTATAGAAATACAGCTACTATAGTGAGAATTTTGTCACAATACCACTTTCTTTACATTTTACTATCTTTATTACTAATTATATCACATTCAAGGCAATTTTGGTCAGGTGATTAGCGTCTCACATGTTCTAAATCAATAATTACAACATTATAAAACACATTTCTTTCCTTAATACAAAAGGAAAATATTATTTCTTTTTGAGGCATGCTGTGAATTTAAGGTTACTGACCAATATATCATCATATGACTAACTAACCAATTGTGTCTTAAATTGAGAAAATAGATAATAGAAATATTCCGAGGCAGTATGTTGTGTTGCTAAGGAACATGGTATTTGAAATATCTGTTTATTCTTATAATTTATTTGATATTTCTACTATTTTTGTTGAGCCTGCATGCGGCAAGCTCGATATAGCTCTCACAATGGTGGTTTGATGTAAATGCGCGTCTGTGCGTACGTGCGTGCGTGTGTGTGCGCGTGTGCGTGTGCGTGTGTGTGTGTGTTAGTGCATCTGTCCGTATTATGCCTGTCTTGGTGTAACTCTGTCATTACTTCACAGAATTTCAAATAATTTTGCAGAAATGTTTACAGTAATGAAATGGTGTGTAGCGCACATGAACCGTGTGGCTATGTCAAAGGTCAAGGTCAAAGTTTAAGGTCAAATGCAAGAAAAAATACGACAGCGGACTCGACATGTTGCCCTTGGGCATCTAGTTTGTTATAATACTGGCTCAGTTATCTTTACTGATTAACTTTGATATCATATGAACTGGAACAATAACTGGATGAAATAAGCTTATATCATGTCCTTTTATGTTTTCTACAAGCTTGAAAAATAATAATAACAGTTATATGAATTGTCTTTAATTCAGTTTCAGATAAATGTACATTGATTGAAAAATGCAGCTGCCTAAACTTTTGAACTTCAATTCAATTAAATACAATAATTAAAAAATCAAACCTATGTTTTATAGCTATACAGGTCACACATGCTACATCATCGTGGTCAGCACAATACATATCCAGCAGCTTGGTTTTATGAGCTTCACATTTTTCAACTGGAAAACTTGGCAACGATTTCTGTAAGGTAACTGTGTTAAAACTTGACTTGTCTATAAACTGATGTGTGCTCATTGCAGGAAACATTTTGTGCAACTCTGTACATTGTGTACAGTAATAATCCTGACATTCCACACAATAAATATCCGCCTCTTTTGTGACATGTTTCTTTTCACATAAACAACATTTAAAGTTGACAAATTCATCTGATCCAATACCTCCGTCCGCCATTTTCTACAATATCGTTTTGTACTTCCTAGTTACTACAAAAACAGAACAGGGATATTGATTGAAATCAGTTTAACAAGTTTAAATTCTAAATGTAAAACAGTGTTATTTTATTTAGAGTTGATATTTAAAGTGTAGTCACACTTTTAAATACTTTAAATCATCCTAGTTGCTTTATCTAGATAGATTTACTGATAGCATTATCAGTGTACAATGTATTGGACTTTGTTATTTGAGGTAGTTATAAATCACGTACATGTTTAACAAATGCAATATGAAAATATTAGGTCACTAAAAAAAGCTATGTACTTAAATCACATTACAAAAACGTATTTCACCATTTGTGTAATTCTTTAAGTAATATATAATACTTAAAGAGAATGCAATTTGTGTTATTTTCAATAGTATCAAAAACAATCATTTCAGGCAGTAAGGGGCAAAATATTTAAGTAAACATAAAGGATAGTTAGGTACAAACTTTAATCATAGTCTATTAAATTACCGTGTATTTAATGTAGTACCCATAAATCTCTTTATTTGATATAGAAGGCATATTTTTTATTTAATAAATATTGGAAATTCCGAATCATGCCTCTAAACCTTCCAACATCATCCTCACCCATACCCTTTAGTTTTCTCACCGTTTTTAGTATATTTTTATTTTCCTGGATCAATGTTACGCACGTGCGTAACGTTAGCTACGCCCCCTGGACGCCCTGGTTTATCTTGTGTCCTACATTTCTTTAAGTAGCAGTATTTATGATATTAGATCTTAAAACGTTTCATTTATATTGATTATTATTTGGCAATATTGAGACCGAGATATTTGAATATTCAATGTCCTTTTGTTGGTGATTGTCGGATTCCGAAGTGAATCTTACGGACTTTAAAGTATGACATAAAGGTATACATAGTTTATGTAACTATACATTACTTGTCGACAGCACTTGCATAACTACATTCGGTGATAAGGAATTAATATTTAAAGTTTCTAACTGAATGTTGTAGGTTCGAATACCCATGATCTATCTATCTACAATTAATATCATAACCCTCGCGCGACGTAGACATGATGCTGAGTTATTTATATTTTCAGTAATACATTTATATATATAATGATATATGTTGCTTAAAGCAAATTTCAAATATGGTATTGTAGAGGGTCTCATGCTTCAACCAGGTATATGTTTGTAAAATATGATGAGAAAAAACTTTCTTGAGGACACACTTTTTCTCATTTATTCATGAATTAAGGGCCAACATTGTGGTTTTCCACATTTCTTATAAACTGTTTCAGAAACTTAAGTCCTGGGTGGTGTTAAGAGTAGCATGGGAGTCTTAGCTGCCTTACACCTTTCTAGAGACGCATTGACCATGCGTGGTCATTAACGACAATGGCCGTGTATGGCAATTAACAATTTTCATCATTACTTACAGGTAAACAGGTAAAGGGAAGTCACATGTTATATCCTCGGGTGGACATGATTCGGTACCCTAAGCATTTTACTGTGCTAGTTTGTTACACTATATTTCCTTATGATCTAAGCGTTCTATGATAAAGAAATTTGCAGAAACATTAAATTCACTTTGAAATATAAAAATATAAAATATATGTTTTCTTTATTAAGGTACATGTGTCGACACTTTCTGACATATACAGTAGGGGTGTTGACTCTAAGACAGGGACGAATTAAGGACAATCAACGATAGTGCTCTGTCAATATAAATACAGTTTAAATAAAATCAAAGGCAACACCATCCTTAATTATATAGACATGTTTACACAATAACAGCATAAGGTTTCATGCAAATTATGCCTTTGGAAACAAATCGCAAACATTTTCGAATAACTTTTTGTCGACATCATAATTTTGAGACGGTCCCTCCAAAACCGAATTATTTGGTAATCAGGATTATCGTTATTTACGAACAAAATTACACACTTTCGTAACATACCAGCCTTATTGTTAAGTACATGTAAACTAATATGATATATCTGAGATAAAAATATAAAGGTTTAATCCGAAATACAGGTTTAAATAGTTAAAAAGTAACTCACTTCCTCATTAGAAGATGATTGCTTCGCCATGTTGGATTTGGTTTATGAAGAATTGTGGGTAGTAGTCGTAGGACAGGGCGGACCGTGGGACAGGGCGGACCGTACCAGGGATATAACTATCGATATTCATGCGGTTTTTAAATGTTTTTGTATATATGTCTGTCATTACGTTTTCATACATATGTCTGTAAATAAATAAGTCATGGGTTATAATTTACACGTCGGGAGAAAACCAACTTCTGTTTTTTTGACGAAACCTTAAACTTGTCGGGTGAAATGTATGTTTTCTAGCGTTGTGATATGGTGGGTGATATGATATATTTGTCAATTTTTTGCTAAGATATAGTTTGTTTGTGGAAGTTTGATAAAAAAATGTTAGGTCCAATTTACCGTACGGACCTTTAATGAACATTATTTTTTATATATTTTTTTTAATTAGATTTTGCGAAACTTGCCTACTAAGTTTGTGTACATGCCCATCACCTATTGTACGACTGTAGTCACTGTACAAATTAAAGTTATAAAATTTACATAATTATTCAATGTACATGCATATATCAAAGTTATGATTTTTTTTTCTATTAAAAAGACGCAAGAAATTAAAGAAATGATTTATTTACTTATGCCATATATATTTAGAAAACAAATAATGAAAACTATTTTTTTGAGGATTCGAACTTTTAGCATATACTTACCTCCAGCCACCGGGACGTTGGTATGAAATAAAGTATCGAGAACTTTCTTATCATTGAAAAACAGGTAGTAAATCTTAATAAATAACGAAAAGGCTTCCAAATGAGTCTCATGTCAATATATTTTGATTTGTTACCTGTTTACAAATATAGCTAGAGTCAATTGGATTTCCTTATGTGTTCCATTTTAATACAGGATCTAAAAACTTGGAATAGGATGCCTATAAGGATGCACCTGTTTCGTATGTTTATGTGTAATTAATGTTCAGATGTCATGTCCCTTTGTTTACAAACACAGCACGTTATAAATTTGTCTTTAACTTAAAAATAGAGCTAAGATATTGCATATATTGCAACTCTACCAAACTTGTTTTTGAAAATAAAAACCCTCAGGTCAATTTTTGCCCCTGGCGGCCTAAAAGCTCATAGGTTTTCCTGTGTGTATATTTCCTTATTGTGTAGTGGACTACTACAAAGGTATTTTTATAAATTATTGTCATGGAATCAAAATTGGTCATGTCCTGGAGATCATGGTTGTTCCTTATTTGAATTAAGTAAAAGCTTTTAAAATCATCTTCTGTGTACCATAGCAGCTAGTGCTCCGGTATTGAAAATGTAACATTACCTATGGGACCACTGGACTACTATCAAGTTTGGTCAAATAGTGTATAATTTTATATCTTTATAATGTATTTAATTATAAAGGCTAGAGCTGAGATTATTGGCATGAAACATTGTCAAGTCAACCTCTACAAGGTTTGTTAAAATTTTAGGGTCATAGGCTTTCCTTGTATGTATATCTTTACAAATCATTTTCTCTAAAACTGTGCAGGCTTAAGTAAAAAATTGTTGGCATTGAACGTCAACTATTAGGCTTTTCCCAACTTTGTTATAGCTATGAAGTCAAAATTGGCCCAGCCCTGAGCGATATAGGTTTTGCGTATTTGTATCAATACATGTCGTAAAATTTTAACTGCCAAAGCCGAAAATAAAATTAAGCTTGGTCACTTGATAAATTTCAATGAAGCTCTACTGATGTGAAATGATCATTTGGGGGCTCCTTTAAAAATGTTGCTCAATTGCAAATAGTTCTAGCTTGTTGAACAAGATGGCGGCCAGATCTTTAAGTAGCAATAGGCTTTAAGTAACATGACCTCTTCAACATGTATCAGCTCAATTAATGAACATCTAGCTCAATCAACGAACTTCTACATGAATGGTAATTGGGTGGTCCTTTTCAAAATGTGCGTGAATCGTTTCATGCTAAAAGGAGAAAAAAAAAACTTAACAATAAGAAATATCATCTACTCTACCCCTTTGATTATTTTGATTAAACTGAATTAATAGAAATGACAAAGTAATTAAGTTTTGTCTATGAAGACTATAGATATCCACTGATGAGTGAAAAAGGTCCCCGTGTTGTATCGCCTCTACATAGTAGTTGTGGCATATAGGGATCACTTCCCGTAGTTTGTCCGTCCGTATGTCCGTTCGTCTATCTGTCTGTCTGTCTGTTTGTCACAAAACTTGTCCGGACTATTCCTCAAAAAAGTACCGGTGCAATTTTATCCAAACGTTACATAAATTATCTGTACCAAATGTAGTTGTGCATAGCGTAGGTAGATATTTCCCAGTTCAATGATTTTTGTCAGAGTTATGACCCTTTAATAATGTTTTACTGTTTGTCACGACTATTCCTCTCATACCACTTATGCAATTTCAGTGATTGATCTGTAGCTCAAGTACTTGCTCATATTACACAGCTTTTTTGCTTGAATGATTTTTTTGTCGAGTTATGGGCCTTGAATGGAAAAGGTGACTTTGTGTTGCCAGCTTCAGACGTGCTTGTCTGGATTACTCCTTAAAATCTACTTGTGCAATTTCATCCAGACATTACAGAAATGATCAATACCAAGCATATATGTGTATAGTATCAGCAACTCTACAGGATTGATCTAGTCCTTGCGCATATTAAACGCGTTTTTCTAGTTGAATGATTTTGGCTGGGTTATTGCCCTTGAATAACAAGCGCATTTTTTCGTTCGGGATTTTTGTGTACCCTGCTACACTGTGAGTAGCTATGACATGCATTGGGCTATCATGACTCGACACATGTGATCACTGTTCGCTCTAGTGCTTTTATGTGACTAAATTAAATCAAAATGAAAATAATATGGAGTCTAAGTGAGTAAGCACTTTTGTTAAAAAACCAATGATCACAATTTTGGACTAAATCATATTTTCTAGAAAAAGCAAGTTGTTTAAAGATCAAGGGCAACTATGTTGTTATTTCTTCAAGTATTTTCGATTGCTCCTCATTATTTTTCAGTGGAGAATTTAGTTGTCATAGTTGGTTTTTATTTGTTTGGGCCGTCAGACCAAACAAATAATGGTAGCGAAATTTCAGAGTCTAATGCTGTTAATTGCAAATGCCGAAAATAGTCCACTTTTTTGAAGCGGTTACTTCCCTTTATATGTACACTAACGCCGAAAAATTCAGGGGAGATCACTTCCCAAAGATGGTCGAAGACAGGCACATTAATTTTCAAGCAAAATAATTCCCGAATGGTCGAAGATTTCTAATATTGTTTTATTGTATTTTCTGATCGAAAATAAGTAAATACAAAGTGGACATTCAATCTCTGACACAGAAGTTTACGACAAACCTAACAACAAGTAGTTCTCAAAACAGCTTAAAACTAGCGATTTAAAAGAAAGAAATATTTTTATTTTTTTACAAGTATCCAACAAATTACAACGCATTCAAAGTTTAAAAATAGCGTTGGCTTATAGAATTGTCAATAAATGAACAATCACAAATTACGCGGATGAATATGATTTTATCAATGAAAATACTATTTTTAGCGATGTCGATTACCGAATACTACACAAACCGAGTAGTGGAATATATAGATTCTACATGTCGGACTGTTTGGGCGAGAAGATTTTCGCTAAATTATTTACTTCAATTTTAAACAACAGATTTATCCTGAACAAAATACCTCGAAATTAATAAGGAGTACAAACCCGAAATGCAATGGAAGTTCTAAATTTAGAATGACTTGATGTTATTCAGACATTGTTTGTATAACTTCTCCGTGGTGCGGAGGTAACGCGCTCGCTTAGTGAGTGAGAGGTCTGGAGTTCAAATCCCAGAAGAGGAAACTTTTTTGTTTTTTAATTCTTTTTTAAGTGTCTTTGTTAAGGAAGTAGCCATGATATGCAAGGATAAAGTGTAGCTGTCGTAAAAAATGAACATAAATGATATTTTGATGCAACCATAGTTATGCAGAATTCCGTATGTATCAAACTCTGGTGCCTTGCAAAATGAATTATAATACATAAAAATAAACTTATACAGGAAAATACATACAGATATACAGTTCGATTTAGTTTGCAAAGATCAGAAAATACCACAGAACTTGCAGCCTTTTGATTCTTTATAAATATACATGCTTATAGTAAGCTCCAGGATTATTATATATTATATAATATAAAACATGACCTTATTAGTACGAGTATAACAACCCCCTCCCCCATTAAAAAAGAAAAGAAAACATAACAAATACACAATATATTAGCAAAAAATCTTTATTTTAAATAAAAGTTTAATTTCATTCAAACAGTAACAGTTTAAAACTTTACAAACATAAGAAAGCTATGTACAGACTTCAATAAAAATGATTTTTAAACAATTTATTAGACAAACCATTTATTCAGAAAATATCATGAACAACACATATATTGTTAACATATAAAATATGAATATAACGGTATAAGGCTTTGAGCCGAAGTAGTAAAATTTGAAATCAATAAAGATTTTGTATATTTATTTTACAGTCCTTCTTTTTCGATATGAAAAAGCATGAAATTTGAAAGAATTTAATTATATATATATATACATATGTCAATCGTATTCAGTATGAACACATTTACATTAAAAGTTTAATAATCGGCACCTCTCAGCTATTATCGATGACAATCTTATCCGATATTTGACGGAAAGGGCCGAGAAGATGCGATTAAGAGTTTAAACTGCAAAAGGAAATAAGATAATTTATGAAATCTTATATTTATTTAGTATGGAATATTTAGAATGAAATATAAATTAAAATATCTAAAGCGTTAGAATCATAAAAAAACTAGCATTTTTATGCGCTCATATATTCATTTGAAATAAAAATGTGCATATAAAATTCAAATTATAAATTTAAATTTAAATTAGATATTAACGTCATGAGTCCGCTTATAAATAAGCTAAAATGTTGATAAAAATGGGGACATATAAACATATTAGATGCACTGTGTGTGAAAATGATAATATCATAAATGTAACATAAGCTCCAAAATAATGATTTTACTTTTAGTTTCTCAAAAACTTTATTTGTATTTCATTTTGGTGTTTCGAAAAAGCATTCATTGACCATATAGCTTTGAGTACCTTTATAGCACATTATTTCACACACAGCACTACTCACTTCCGTTGATAAGTATATAATATGATTAAACACATGTTTTGCCTTCATAAAAAAGAAAACAAAAATATTTTCTGAACAATACTGCGCCTTAAGTTGTATGAATATTGTCAAAACAAATGAATACTGAAAGATGATAAAGGATTTAAACTCAATGGTCAATTTCCTATGATTTCGAAAAAAATGACTTTCATTTCATGGTCCAAAATGTTGCTTGCATGAAATGACAAGAAAAAAAGTAAATCGAACTAGAAATTCTTGGAAAACGTATAAGCCTTTTCGTCTTGCTATAATTTTTGTATGTATGATCACATTAAGAAAAATAACTTCAAGCTTTAAAAAATTATTACGTTTTTATCAAATTTTGATCAAAACAATTGTTTAAATATATCTAACTCGAACTTTATACTTGATAGAAAAGAGGCAAACTATTTTTTGTCAAAACGATGAACAAATCTATCAGCAGATTTATTCTAATCGGTCATGTAACTTAAATGTCCATTATGCCAAATAAATGCTATCAGTTTGTTTTCACAAAAACTGCTTATTGTTGGTATCTAGTAACAGTTTCCAAAAACATTATACATGTTTACCTATGTTGGCAACTGGTATAATTATTGACTAGTATTTAGTATTGAGGTCAAATACTACTTTGTTTACAATTTGCTACATTTACGATCTATACATGCATGTTCAGCACTTCTTTTTTTCACGTGTAACCCTCTAACATACTCTAACTCTAAATCCATTACTAAAACATTATGAAACAAATGTTTGACATTACTAAAGAATTAAAAAATACTGATTTCTGAGGCATAATGAGCCTTTAAAGACAACATTTTTCCAGGGATGAAATTTACTTGTTAACGTATGTTTATACGAACACCTAAACAATTTTCCAGAAATATTATTTACTCTAACCGAGCGTTAAATCTTAAATGGAATAACGTGTCCATATTTCAAACTGGATAAGAGAACATTTATCTATTTTTTTTTAGGGAAAATCAGAAAACAAAATATTAAATATATACAGACAGTCGTGCTGGCTGATTTTTGTCCGCACTGGTCTCGTTGTCGCCAGCAGACTTTGTGTTAAATTCTATGTTGTTTTACGAACACACTCCTATGTGTTCAAAAACACAGAACACTTGAAATAATCGGACATGATTTATCACAGTATTATGGATTGTATATTTGTTATATCACAATGTTTAAATGGTTATTTCAAACACACATGTACATGAACAATAGGTTATTGCACGATTATGATAGAGAAACATGATTTATTCCATTCTGTTTAATATCTTGTCCACAAATTCACGTTAAGGTCTATCAAGTCATAACACTTTCGAAGTGGATTCCTGAAAACACAATAAAACGATGTAAGTGCAAATGCATTACTTTAGTTTGAGATATTTGTTATTTTTTCGTGAAAAGAAGCCACAAAAGATGCTTATCCAAAAGTTTTTTTTATTTATTTTTTTTTTTTAAAAGACTAGTATAAAGTGTAACACTTTTTCATGTAAATCGGACATAAAGACGGGTTTGGTAGACCAAAAACACATAAAAAAATAACAACAAAAAATGCTCCAAAGGTTGAAACTGAATATATGTAGTAGTGTAGATCGTCCTTGACCTTTAGCTTGTTTCTTGTTGTAAGCAGACGACATGAGTTTCAAAGATAAATAAATATTCTAGATGAGCTGTATCTAAACATTAGTAATTTTTTGATATATTTTCCTGTCATGCTTTTCTTCTGTTCAATATTTTCGTATGTAAAATTGAATAGGTTTATGCCATCGACCTTGACCCCTTTGTCATAGAGGTCATTGCAAAACAAATATGATATTGTTATTACTATATTTATCTATACTAGAATATTTTTTGTCTTTATTTAGTTATAAATATAAACAAATCATATCAGACTTACCTGTCTGAAACTGGTTTGAACACGTTTGACTGTATTTCTAAAATGTTCATTGTTTCGCATAAAACTTTAGCAAAACTCTGACTTTTTATGGATGCAAGTTGATCTGTAAGAAAGAGAATTCCAATACATATGTATGTACATGTAAGGGCCAAAAACATCAGTGATGCAAAAATATACATAGCTATAGAATGTTGTTTTAAGTTATTATACCGCCAAAAACTTTTGTACTTTTGTCAACCTATGACGATGATTCTTGAATATGAAAAGGGATTTTTGTAATTGGAAAAGCAGAGAGCCAAAAGGCAACTGCTGCACAGTGTTTCTATTTGTCTTCATAATAGCTTTCACCAATATATTTTAATGCAATTAATGATGATAGCTTAATTTGTAAATTATAACATGTCCCAGTTGTAAACCATATTTTTAATAGTAAAATTATACAAAATTCTACAATTTTCACTTTTAAACTGGAGGGATCTCTGCCATTTTCGGATTCGTGAAATCCAAATGAAATAATGCATTTTCTTTAGATGCAGTTTCTTTATCTCTACAATTCTAGCTCAACATTTGAGTCGGTCTACTAAGGAACAAACTCCTATGGAGGCTGATTCGTGCCATGTCGTATGTTCGCAGGGCGAAAGTACCACTCGAGGTCATATTGTCATATATTCGCTTGGCGCCCCGCAGAGTGAAAGTACATAAAAGTGGCCCTATTATCGTATTTTCGAGTTTTCGCCTGGCGCCTCGCGGAGCGAATGTACAAAAAAGTGGTCATATTGTTGTACATTCGCCCGGCGCAAGGCGGAGCAAAATTACTTAATGGTACAAATTAGCCACCATAAGATACAGGAAGTTATTCAAAATGCACTCCTTTCTTGTCTTACCTTTTGTAAAGCCTGTAATTTTCAAAGGGTTTTCATAGTAGAACCGGTCACCGTATTTTAACTGTTTAAACTGGTGAGCTAATAAACAAGCAAATGTTGGACCAACTTGTGCGCCTGGTTCGTTCGTTTCTTTAACCCCGCCTGAATACAGGTCAATATCATCCGGGTGACTGAAATAGAACAATAAAAAAATACCGCTTAATTTAACTTAAAATAATGTATAGCATGATTGTGCTATCATTATATTACATGTGCATATTTTGTGTTAATTCTAGAACTTACCTGAACAAATTTAGGTATATAATGTTATGATTTAAGATTAGTTTAAGAAATTTTGTAGCTAATTTGGTCTACTCTCTTTGGTCCGCTACCTACCTAAAACTAACTCGTAACCGTCTTTTGGGAAAACGTTACTCAAACCACGAATCCTTAGTTGAGAAGCCGACAATACAAACATTATCTCACTTCAATAAGTTACTTTAAAACACCCTCGAAACAACTTTTAATAACTTGATCATTGACGGAAGACCATCTTCAATATTAAAACTTTGATAACCACCACATGATATTTTAGATTACAAAATTATTTTGTATCTAGCACTGGAAATATCCTCAAAATAAAAAAATAATAAGTATATTTTGTTAGGTTACCTATATATATTTCTAAATAGATCGGCATTCTCTGAAGTAAAGTCACCAAACGCGTTCCCTTGTGTTTTGAATTGTTCGTCTGTTATTTTTGGCAGACCACAAAATTGACGCCAATGATTGTATGATGGCAGTCCATGGTCTCTTCCACGTTGGATGTTTAAAGCAGCAAGATCAAAACTTACTTTATTCTTTAGGAAAAGAAGATTTCGAACACCTTTGTCGAATGTTCTGGAACGATGAAAATATTACTAGTAATTGCAAAATTATGATAATATACATGTATAATGCATGTATATGCATAAATAAATGGATTGCAATTTCATGATTGATTGAAATTTTTGTGGAAGATATATGTTTCACCATAAATATACTATACAGGATTTTCATGCATCCTACAATCGTCTGCGCAATTTCATGGTTCGATAATGAATTAACTTTCTGCATATTTCTAGCCATTAAGTAGGTCAGCTGTTCGTGCATTTAAATAGGTAAGGTAAATATATAACATTTTTATTTACATCAATGTACATATGATTATTTTATTTATGAAATATACCCGTCTGGCGAAACTCCTTTATTATGCACCATCCACCTGGAAAGCCCATCGCAGTACGAAAAGGTCAAGTTAGGGTTATGATAAGTTTGTTCAATAGGAGAAACGCATTCGGTATCATACTGATTGTTCAAAGATGATTGGTCACCTGGAACAGTTACGTGACCAAAGCGGAACGCTGCCGTGCTGAATTCATTTGATATGCTAGCGTCTACAGAACGGTCATACACATTGACAAAACCGTGACTAACGCTTAAGTTGTACATTTTCATGTATTTTTCTCCTAAAATGGTGGGCAGGTATTCATTGTATACAATATTTTGCATGATGGCGATAAGAATCTTTCTAGTTTCTTGATACAGTTTTTCGTCGTCGCTATATATGTAGTTTTCTGACAGTCTTTCCGCAATTCTGTTGTGCAGACGAACAAATGCCGTGTGTAATGTGGACAGATTTGGTACTACGTTTACCCTGCCGTCACCTATAAAATATGTTATAATCTCCATAAATATTACGTCTTTTTCCGTGACAAAATACAAACATTTCATAATTATGAAAAAAGTCTTGAGTTCGTAAAAAATGATTACATTTGTACTAGTTTCTGCATTTATAATGCCACGATAACCGTTTTTGTAAGGTTGTTACAAAATAAGCAAATCATTAACAATCACATAACAGGTAAAATATTCTCGACTTATTCATGATTTCAAAATCTTGAGATAGATACATTTAGTGCATGTTAAATTTACAAAATAATAAGAACATTTCAATAACTGCACACTTTTTTTTAATTTTACTAATTGCAAACGTTCGCAATAAGGTACTACTCACCAGCATTAAAACAATACTGCTTTTGTTTTGTTAATGTACAACTCTGAGTCTTTTGTTTCGGCAAAAGATTTTCCTCATTTACTAGAAGCGCACCTAGAAATCATAAGAATTGCAATATGCGAATTGCCATCTGTCAAATTTCATATCATCTTGAAATCAGGAAAACATAAGGTATAATTTATGTATTATAAAGATTTTTAAAGTTGGTATAAAATCATGTCTTTCTCATCTTTTTTACATTTAACGTAAAAATGGTATTAAACACATAGCTTCTGGGTCTAAGACTTTCATTTTACGAGGTTCGCCTTACGCTTTGTGGTATTTTCAATATGCATCAGTGTGGCGCCGTTATATGTCGCACCGCCGCTTAAATGTCGCACTTGCCGCTAATTATCGCTTTATTGCCGTTTTATGTCGCAACCGCCGCTAAATGTCTTAAAATATTTTGCCTTCAAATGTCGCAACACTACAGTACCGTTAAATGTCTCACCATTTCCCTTAGCGTTAAATGGCACAACACTACCGTTAAATACATAAAATATTGCAATATCTAAATTCACGTCAAAACAACTTGTTTTATGACAATATTAAAAACGTTATGTAGGTGATCTAGGGACTAGTTACCTATCAGATAGGAAAAGATTTGTTGTGAAGTACAAAAAAATTGGTTGAAATTAAAGTCAACTTAGTCGGTATTATAAACTGACGACCACAATTTATTCCAAAAGAGCATCTTAGTGATAAAACACATTTGTACAAGTTTTTCATATAGCAACCCAGATATCGTGATTTCGAGCTACAACATCAGTATGAGAAGGATCTAACACGCCGAGAAGTTTACTCTAGAAAGATTCAATTTAATTCAAAGTCAGATCAAAATTCTTTATATTTTGTGTCGGCCTTCCACCTACAGGCATGTTTGTCAGCGGTTTTATCGACATTAAAGGTATTATATGTGTTTTTTATTTTGCCACAATGAGTTTACAGTTTTAAAAATCGTAATGCAATCATCACTTTATGTCACGTATGCAAAATATCAACCCGGTGTGTCTTTTCATGAGAAGGTGCAGTGTTGTTCATATGTACACAACTACTAAGCTTATTCAAAGTTTCAACAAATCTATTATACAGTTTTCAATCTGCATCCATGTCTTTGTGACTGTAACATATGCCTTTAAACTTTTATTTGTTATATTTTCTCAAGATGGAAAAGTTATCAATGCGATAGGTGCACCGCAGTTACAGCACTTTTTAGTGGCACACAGTAAATTCAATTTAAAATCACACGGAGTCCATAAATTCAATGCCATTTCACACTACTTGAAAATATAACGAATAACCCTACGTCTATCAACTCAGACCAATGAGTGCCATAACAGATTACTTACATACATAGGAAAATTGTGTCGTACCGAATCTTGTTTTTGTCCTGTAACTGCGTGTCAATAAAAAGCGTTTTCGATGCACCTTTCACATGAACATTGAATAACAATAATAATAGTAAAAGTGAGCTTGATTTTCTGTCAGAATGGTAGCAAAATTCATAGCATTGTCCGTCATATGATCTTAGAACATACATTCCTGCCTACAACGACAGAATTTAAAACACTCTCAAGAAAAGACAGACTAGATACCAGACCTTAAGTGATGATTGCAATCAATGAAATTGTAAAACTGTTATCTGATAGTGACAAAATATTAACACATAATTTTTATAGTATAATACATGTGTATCTAAATACCTATAAAAACACAGGCAAATATGCTTGTATGTGAAAGGCCGATACAAAATATAATAAATTCTTATCTGAGGTTGAATTTTAATGACTCTTTCTCGGTGTGTTGGATCCATCTCAAGCTGATGTTGCAGCTCGAATCCACGACATCTGAGTTGCTGAATGATAAACGTATACAAACGTGTTTTTTTGTTCATCAAGAGGCTCTTTGGCATAAATTGTGGTCTTCAATGTATAAAGTCGGTTAAGATGACTTCAATTTCAACCAATGACTCGGTACATTACTATCTGATAGATAGTTAGTCCCCATGCAGTTCACTTACATAACGTTAATATAAATCAAGATATTGCGATATTTAACGATATTGTTGTGACATTGAAAGGTAAAGGAAAATGGTGCGGTATTAACGTCATTACGACATTTCATGGCAAAATAGTTTTAAGACATTTAGCAGCGGTTGAGATATTTAGCATCGTTGCAACACACAACAGCGCCACAGACTGGATATTTGCACCCTGTATATTATTTATTTTAATGTTTAATGTAGAAAATAGTTCATTTTTACGGAAAATGGGCTAACGTTGATTTAAACTGTCATTAATATGATATTATTGAGATATTCTAATTTACGATCTAAAATAGTAGACATTTTAAACTTACCACGAGAGAATGTACGTAATTGACGACTTAAAGCTTCTGATTTACCATATACCTGACTGGCATCAATATAGGATGACATTTCATTAATTTGTTCCCGTCCACCTGAAAATTGAAAACACAATGTAATTAAAGTTTTTCTATTACACCCCCGTTCACCTGAAAATTAAAGATAATTATAGTTTTTCTATACCCCCGTCCACCTTAAAATTGAAACTAAATACAGTTTTTATAATATACCGAATTCTGACGACACATCTGATAGACACGCTTCTTAAAATTCCATGATTTTATAACACTTTTCATGCAAGATATCTTAAGTAGAATTGTCATTCTTGTATGGTATAAAATTAACCTACCATTGCTTCAAACAAGTGCAATAAGAGTATAGCTGCTGTAAGGACAATAATATCATCTATATTTCATATAAGGTATTTGTTACTTTGGGGCAGTGACATTATCAGTGCATCAATCTTGTGCTACAGCACTAATTTTAAAAGTCAACTTATGGAACATAAATGCTTCGTTTGGCGCTCTGGGAATATTATGAGTCGTCTAGGACAAACATGAAGATACTTTGCGCGTCTTTGTAAAATACGACAGACAAAATAGGCAATTTTAAAAAATAATTTTGAAATAACTACGATTCTCATTTTTGCACGGGTGTGCTAAATAAGTAAGATTGATACAATATTGTATACTCACATATTTCGCACTTGTCACATACAGCCGGTGCTGACCTGGTGAAGGACATACATGTAGAGTCATTGAAAAACAAATCATTTCTGGGAACCTGCACAGGAAAACACGCCTGGCTGTAGAAAAAAGCACACAACACGTACACATTAAATAGTAAACAAAAAATACGAGCAATGTAACATTTGGCATACGATATGATTTTTTTCTAACATTAATAAAAATTCAATTTTTTGGTTGGGTTTTATGTCGCACCATTATTATAAAGGAGCTTCCAGCTTAGCTGGTGGAGGAAGACCTCATGTACTCCCTCTGTTCATTATTTTTAGCACGAACACACATCTAAGTAGAACCACCCACGTTCCGTATGCTAGCCTGATAGCTTCCTTAAATGAGAGAACCGAAAATTCTTGGCGGAATTCGAACCCGCAGCGGTGAAGTGCAAGTTCTTAATAGTCAACGACCTTTAACCACTTGGCCACGGGCGACTCTTTAAACACTTCATTGACATTAATAACAAAATAATTCAGTTAAAAATGATATACATGTATAAAGATATAGCAACAATCAAATAATCTCTAAGCTTTCGTCACAAATAAACTGTGAGCTTCCGTCACAAACAATCTTTAGGGGGCAGGGGACATATTTGAATGATGGCCCCGGTCAAATTTTATAATAACTCAGACATGGTGTTTTGAAGGTAGTGGAAACTTCTGATATTTCTCTGTCATTGTAATTCTTTCTTGTTTGTAAGTAGGTAATGAGCAGTATTTTTGGGTTTTTATCCGAAACTAAGCATTTCTGTAGCTTTGTATGTATTTGTGACTCTCCGAATGGAGGTGAAAAAGTTAAAAATCAAGCTTTGACAGTTGGCGCCAAACAAGTAAGAAATTTCGGATAAATTTTGTGATAAATCTAAACGTATGACAGACACTTGGTACCATATTGGTATGATTTAGGTGTGATTTTGGCTGGGTGGGGGTAAACATAAATTGCTGTCAGTCATTGTTTTAAGGAGCAATGCATGCAAACTATTATTTTCTTCAATGTATGTAATATATCATTGAATAATGCTGTGCAACTGGTTATCTGCCTGTGAAACAGATTTTGAAATATTTGGAATTGTGTTTCTTGCCACACTGAAATACAAAATTGTTCATTTTTTATGTCCCCTGTCCCCTTTAAGCTTTTGTCAGAAATAAGCTCTAAGCTTTCGTCACAAATAATCTCTAAGCTTTCGTAAGCTTTCACACATAGACAATTAATATGCCGGAACTAAATTGACTAAAAGATACACGCAAGAACACACAAACACATAGGCACGCACAACTCAATGAAATATTAACTCTTCCGTGTCAGTATAATTAAACATGTAAATGAAGAAAAAAAACTCACAAAGGTCCATTTAGTTTCCCGTTTTGATAGTTTTCGCAGCATTTTATGACACTGGAATGATGACCTGGCAATTAAAAAGTATGATTAAGCATCAAATAATGAATAAAAGTTTGATAAAAAATCAAGGAAATAAATCGTTAAAACTGACGTGTTCAGAATGTCATTAAATAAAATCTGATTAAGTTTTCACAAAGTCGCGACGAATTCGACCGTGGACCCTCCAAAATCGACCGTTTATAAAAGCCAACCACTCCGCGTCATTATATATCTTATCGGTTGCCTTACAAAAATGACCATTTCTTACAATGCATTGTCATCAGAGAAACTTAAACTAGCAATAATTCCCTATGGTTATATGTTATTATTTATATCTTTCAATTGAATAAGCAATATTTCTATTGCAGAATATTTTGAATTGTTTTCCTTGAATTCAAGAAAAGTTCACTAAAAGGCCAAGTGTTCTTTAAGTATTGAAATGCGGAAAAAATTAAATTTCAAATTATCATCTCTGTAAATACTAAGCATTCATGTATTTGGTATGTACTGTGACTCAATGGCCAAGTATAGGTCTGTGAACTATGAATACGTTCGAAATAGTCTGGGTTTTCCAACATGTATCAGTATGCTTGTGCATATAGTGGTGGTGTTGGTAGTTTTCACACCGGATCATGAGCGCAGTTCAGCCACTGCATCGTACCTAGGCAGGCTGTCCAGCAATTTACCAGTACTAGTTGTCTTCACTTTCCCAAAGAACTGATAACTTCTGTACATGCCAGCTAGAGCAGGGTAACAGTGCGAATGGCCGTAGAATGGATTTCCTGATCAATCAATACGAAAGTAATCTGCACCGTCCGCTAATCGTACCAAGGTCGCACTATTCACATTCAAACGGTCCTGTTTAATGAGCTAACATACATCTTGCTGTGTGCTTATATTTTGTAACATATTCATATTAATATCCCTCACATGTATACATAAACAATGCAAATTCTTAGCAAGACAAGTCCGTTCAAGGTCCATTATGCTTCAGAAATGCGATCATTTTTATTTCTCAAAAACTTTATTTTTGGAATCTTGTTACAGTTTCCGAAAAACAAATGCTGATTTGTTAAAATTTTGATACCTTTACGACACATAACTGCATGTTCAACGCTACTCGGTCCGTTGTAAAACATCTAACATGCACTTAATCCATTTTTTAAACATTATTTAACACATGTTTGTCACTTATTAAGAAATAAAAAAATGGATTTCTGAGGCATAATGTGCCTCATATACATAGCAAGGATTATTGCCTAATTTTTTTTACATCTTTATAACAACTAACCGTCCATCATTGGTGTTGATGCTATATCATGAGACATAAACTGTCCGAAGGCCATCACCATAACTGTTGATTGTTCGTCCTTGCGTCTGTTTGGGCCTGGAGAATGTATCACGTTACTCACGATCCTGGGGCTTGGCAACGGGCTCCCACTCTTACCGAACATCCTCGGTGCACCTATTTCTATACAAGGAGAGAAGAAAAACAACATGCGAGTACTTAATTTATTAAAAATATGCAGAAACAGTCGATTCAAAATATAACACTGCAAAAGACTTAATGTCTGGTATGCATTTTTATGAGTTAAAATTGATACGGGAGCTGCACTTTGCGTTCGTTTCCCAATCTCTGAGTAATAAAAAAATAAAAGAAATAAAAACAACAACAAAAAAACGCCCAATTATTTAAAAAATTAAAGTAAAAACATCCCCACTTTTATCTGAAATGAGTTGATTATATATAATGTACATACGATCACTATAGTCTGCCGGAAGTGAACGCCTCTGAGGCGTTCCCGTCTTTCCCCACTGTGTATTGTACAAGTTATTGCAACTTCCGTCAAAAGTTCGATACGGTGCATAGTTCCCACATACTACTTCCGGTTGACAA